GAATAGAATTGCCGTTTTTCCTATGTGGGTGAATTGGACAATTTCGATTGGATATAAAGTTTGTATTTTCAGCCAATCTTAATTTTACCTTAGTTACTAGATCGTCGTCGTGTTGGGTCGACTGCTGACCCTGTCTGTGTTGGATTCGAGCAGAGTCTGATCGAGGGTGTGGACAACACGGAGCGGCGCCTCAAACGGGTCCATGGAGAGGACTTGTGGGGGGGGGCTCCGCAGAGCAAGCACCAACGAAGCGTTCGCCTGTACTGTAGCCTCGCGTCAGACTTGTATGAGTTGTTAACGTTATCGCGTCTTGGAAGGATAACGTAACAACGACGACGAGGAATTGTGCGGACGGCAACCGGGAAATTTTCGCCAACTCGTCGTTCGATCGCTCGGGGCATGAATGCAGTGCCCACACCAAGCATGGCTGACAGTGGCGGCCTCCACGTCGGGACTAGTACGAGAGCGACACCCAGCCAGCAGCGACTTGAAGCGCAAGACAGCGTCGACGATTCGCTTGCGCAAGTGTCGCAACACAAACCCGGTTTCCAGTGCCTCGCGACCGAGTGCACGTTTCTCGAACAGACGCTCGAACGATTGCGGCGCGAGCGCATGACATCGAGGCATGACCAGACCATCTGCCGTTTGGCCAGCGGACTTCGGCAAATTCCTGCGACGCGAAGCCGACGCCAAGGTCCAACCAGCGTGCAGCCTGTGCGATTCGGTCGAATCCCATCCCCGTGGTCGAGGCCGGATGTCGCGCGATCAACTCGCAATTCCATTTGTGGATCCACGCCACGTTCCGCGGTGATGCCCGTCAGATGAACCTCACATCTGACGGGAATAGTGGAAAATTCTACCACTTGGCCCGCTCGGCCATTCCCCACCTCGCCTGTGGGGGAGTGCATGTGATTCGATGCAAAGCGAACACGACCGCTGGTGAACACCCCCAGCACCACGTCAGCAAGGAGCTATGACCTTCACTAGTGATAGCTATCCCTATCACTTGTGAAGCACGTAAACCCCGGAATGGCATTGCGTACGCAAGTGCTGTCGCCCTTGGGGTCACAACCAGGTACGGCGTTACGATTTCTCCAACTATATATGGAACTGACTATGGGTGCATGCAGAGTTGTATAACCAGTCATCCAAAAAATACGCCAAGGACACACTAACTCGCGACGGTGGCAATGGCCAGCGACAGCTCGTATGCCGTGCCAGACGTAGCTGCGTGCGAGGTGCCAACCAAATCTTGTGGCAAATCAATGTGTGTGGAGCTTGGCCTGCTTTCGGACCTGAGCTGAGCCATTGAAAGAAGACATGGCACTTCTCATGGCGTTGGGAGTTCGGATACGTTCACTCGTCGTCGTTCCTATAGTTGGGGCTGTTGGGGATCATGTTGTTAGGCGTGCGTACCCCCTTCCCCTTTCCCCTGACCAAGAATCTCTGCGTGTTGCAAAGCGAACGATGCAAGCACTGCTTACATGGCGCAAGGAATGGCTCTTACGGTGTACAGAATGCATTTGGATGGGCTGAGTCGGGGGTGGTGCGAACAGAAGGAGGGGATCGAGGATGGGCATTCAACGAACGGGTTCATCGACATAATTCTTCCGTTTTCCGCTGAGGTGGAGCAGTGGAGAGTTGCCAAGAGTCTAGTTCATTAGCCTGCGCGATGCGACGGTTCATGACGGGGCAAACAGGAAGGTCGCCATGAACCGTGATGGCAAGTGAGCTGGTGGGACGGTTCCACAGCAGAACATAGCTGGCAGTGACACGCACCCACCCACTTGTTCAGCGCAGATGACATCTCGACATCTTCAAAACACGTGCGACCACTTCCAAGCTAGCCGTCGGAGCTTCGCCAACATTTCATTGAAAGGGAGAGGGGCTGATGTGAATCGCCAGGGTGAAAGCTTAGCCCCTTGTTGGCAGGGAAAGGAACTCACAAAGCATGCGCGGTTGGACAGTTGTAAGTTGCGAAACATGCGTTCGCATCGAGTGCGACGGCCGTGTCAAGGGCGCCCCAATACGTTCGCATGGATGGATTCCAAGTCTGTTTGAGGGCGAGGAGTCGAACTTTTCGAGTCGGCTTCGTCGCGGCGTGCTAGACACATGAATGTACTGCGCACCCCATCCAAGAGGGCGATGGAATGTTCGTTACTCTCACGTAAGCCTTCGAGGTCGACGACGACGCGGACCGCTGGCGCAGGTTCTAGACAGCACACGACATGCAACACTTGCCTGTCGTCGCAGTCGACGTCAAGGAGATCTTGGTTATTCCAGTCGGGGTGTGCCGTCATGCTCGCAGAGTTGTGGCGGCCGTTGGATTGACGTGGTGCCTTCGGATCTGGTCTGTTTGTATATTTTTAGCGGACGAGATTTGAACCAGCAAGGCTTGGTCCCATGGAGCCCCCATTCGAGTGTAGTCGTGGGGAATGCTCGGCGTCAATCGCGAGTCACGGTTGTCGTCAGGGTCCGTCGACGACCTTACGACCGCCGCCCAAGCTGGTCTGTTCCTCCTCGCGCAAAACAACGACTTGCAAGTCCAAATCGGCGAACTGAACGACCGAGTGGGTCACCAAGCGCACGAACTGGAGCTAGCGGCTGCCAAGTACGACGCGTGCTGGCGCCAGCGCTGCCACGCCATGCAAGAAGTGGCCGACGTCCTCAAAGAAAATCATGAGTTGCAGCGCGATCTGCGGCTCGCCAATGCTCACATTGTGAAGCTTGAAGATGACGTCAGCAAGTTGGAATCCCGTGTGCACGTTGCCGAAAGTGCATTAAATCGCCTGATGCACAACAACAAAACGATCCGTCCGCCAGGGCGACCCCAAACGAAATGGTCCGAGCCAGAGTCGACCTTGTCGGTTCAGAATTGGCAAGCACTGCCAACCATGGCAGAGCCCGGGCGAGACCCGCCCAATCAAGATGATTCGATCCATGAAGGGAACGAAGACCCCTTCGCCACTGAGCCTCCATCGTCGACACTATCCGTTGGGTCCCCACACGGGCAAGACGGTTCGAAACTCGACGGATCGGTATCTCTCGACGAACTGTACCAGAAAAGTGTGGCAGCACTTGCAACCCAAACACAGCAAATGCAAGAAATGCAACTAGAACAAGCAGAGGAGCGCGACTTGATTGCCAGCATGCGGCAAACGATCGCACAACTCAAGCAGGTGAGCTCCGTTTGGAAAGTCGCGTAGATAACAAAGGCCCGTATCCTCTGCAGCAAGTGTCCCATCTCGAGGTCATGTCGACGCCCCCCCTCGACAAGGACGGAGCCACCGCGGACTCTTTTCTGCCCGACTCCGCGACGTTCGTGCGAGACCAATCCACTGGCATCGTTCCAGCCGTAGTGACCGCACTCGACACATCATCCACGCATGATCTTGGCCAAGCGAATTTGTTGGTGTTGGACAAAGCCATCACACTGGAGGGCATGCACCAGTTGGTGGGGCAGCTCAAAGCCCACGCGCCGCTAATTTGGAGTCGATCCATTGACAGCGTGTCCTCGAAGGAGCCTCGACCCGTGCCACCGTCATATCAAGTTCCCCGTCAGTGCCGTAAGTACCCTCCACCAAGGCTCACACCGAAGCCCATTTAACTGTGTAGACGCTGCGATTGCATGTCTCCAGGACATTTGGCCCGCGGCGACTGAAGCCGACTTCATGGACATCACAGATTGGCTCCACGTAGCGTTTCGAGGCACGGGGATGCACCGCCCCCTTCGCATGCGCAACTTGTCCGAAGAGACAGCAGCGCAGGTCGTGACGACTCTGGTGCCTCTTCTTCAGGCAGCCTGCCATCGAACGGTCGAAGTTACTCTCTTTGACCGTGTGCACTACACCACGGATGTCGTCCTTCGTTGTTAAGGTCGCCGAGCGACCATCTTTTTCCGTCGATGGACGACGATCGAGATGGAATCGAGTTCATAGTTAGTGCTCACGTCAACAAGGACTTGATCCGTCGTAGCTCATGGACAACTGTCAGTGCGTTCGGTCGTTTGGTTGGGCGAAAGTCCATGCATTGCGTCGCTAGGTCAAGAATCGGGTCGGGACAGCTGTAGCTAAACTTGGGCTGCATCCTGCCCTGGCCAACCAGCAGTGCGATCTGTTTGTTGTCGAGTCCGCCGCCTGCCCCGCCTTCCAAGTTTGTAAAGGGTGGCTTGCACGTGTCAAGCTCACACAGCAGCGCGCCAAATGCGTACATATCTGCCGCAAAGGAGTAGTCTGTCGCGTGGGCCAGGAGTTCGGGGGCGATGTTGCCCGCCGTTCGGCTGTGTGTGTTGGACATGCTGAGTTGAACCTCTTTGTCGCGCGTGAGCCCCATGTCGCCGAGTTTGACGTTGTACGTCGACGAGAGAAGCACGTTCTTGGCTTTGAGCCCACGGTGCGTCAATTGGAGGCCGTGCATATAGGCCACACCTTCAGCGATTCCAAGTGCCCACGCTAGCTTGGTCACTGGTGCCTTTTTCGCCGACAACCATTTGAACTTTGTGGAGCTCTCGTCGGCCGCCAGCACCGTCGCGAGGTTGCCCAGCTCCATGAACTCTGTCACGAGGGACACGTCTCGCGCTGATTTAAACACAGCACCGACGAACGTGGTAATGTGCGGGTGGCGCAACCGTGCGCAAAGGCAGATTTCGTCCACAAAGACTTGCATCGTGTCCGCGCAGTCGGCGCGCTTGAGGAGGCAAGCGAGGGGCGTCTTGAGCGCGACATCGACTTCGTTGTAGTGGGCTCGATACACGGCGCAGTGGGTGCCGTTGGCCACGTGCTTCTTTCCTCGCAGTTTTCCCGGAAGTTGAAACGGCAGCAGGACTGTTTCGATGGGAGGGTTTTTTCCTGCTGGTGGGTCAAGGGCATTGAGATCGACGCTGCCCATGGCCGCAGCCTTGCGCATTCGGCAGCATACGATGGCGAGCACGACAGCGACGAGGCCCAATGACCCTGCCGCGATGGCAAGGACCAGTTGCTCGTGGGAGGTGTCCACGGGGTTGGTGAGCTCTACTTTGCCAAGGATCACGTGAAGAAGCGATGGCGGGAGCGTGAGCTACCTGGAACACTCAACGGGGGCGGCACGAGGTCGGATGACGAATGGTTGGCCATGTCAAGGGTATGGAAAAAAGTTGAGAAGTGGGCTACATGCGCAGGGTGGTTTTGAGGATGCTAAATATAGATGACCCGCATCACATCTCTTCTTCGTCGTGGGGATTGATAACGATAAAGCTGGAGGGTTTCGTTTCTGCACCCGCATATTCTGCTGTCTGTGGGACGGCCATGTCGCACCAGGACAGTCGCGGCCATCCAAGCGCAGCTCAAAGTTCGCTATCGTGGTGGACGGTCGTCGCGTTGATACGGCCGGCGCTAGTCCCGAGCGTACTGATTGGTTGCTGGCGCCGAATGGTGTGCTGGGATTGGTTGAAATTATCCACGTTGACCAATGGCATCGTCGCATGGTTCCGTAGCGCAGCACTCGCTGGAATCGCTCGTCTCGACCGCCGTGACGCAACATGGCATGGGGAGCGAAGACGGGAGTGACGGACCTGGTCCAAAAGCTGCAAGCGGGGAACACGAAGAACATGTACGTCCTGCGCACGCGCACCGTCAGCACAGCCGATGCGATTGCGCTGGCGGCGGCGCTGGCGACGCATCCGATCATGGAAGAGTTTTACTTGTCTGGCCACGACTTGGACGCGGCAGGGTTGGCGGCGTTTGCGTCTGTCTTGGCCACGAATACAGTGCTGCAAAAGCTTGCGGTGGGCACGTCTGCGTTGGGTGATGCTGGCGTCGCGGTGTTGGCGAACGGCCTCGCGCAGAATCCCACCAGCGCCATCATCGACTGGGACTTTGAGCTGAAAGGGTTCGGCAATGCCGGCGCAGCGTCCATCGGGGCCATGTTGGCCGCCAATTGCAGCATTCGCCACGTCAACGTGTCTCGCAATACTTTCGACGCGACTGGATTTGACGCCATTATCGCCGGACTTCATGCATCCCCCACATCCACCGTTCAATCTCTCGACGTGCACGACAGCGACCTCGTCCTTGGAAGCTCGTCCGTCCTTCCCGACTACATTCGCGACTCAAAGTGTAGTCTGCGCTCGATTGTGCTGACTGGGAACCCTCTGGGCAAGACGGCGACGGCATTCTTTTCCGCGCTGGGCACCAACACGTCGATTGAATCGCTGCACTTGTCCCATTGCAACCTCTCCGACGATGCACTCGCGGCGCTCGGACATGCCTTGGCAACCAACCAACACTTGAAGCACTTGGACATATCGCACAGCTCGTTCTCCGCCAACAGCGTCGATGCCTTCAGCCACGGGCTCGCCCCAAATCGCACGCTCGAGTCGCTCGACCTGGCCACGACGGGGCTAAATGACACGCTCGTCGACACTCTGGCGGCCGCCTTGCCTCCTCAACTCACAGCTCTGAACGTCAGCGGCAATAGATTGACGGCTGTTGCTGCAACGTTGCTCTTGCGATCGACTTCTCTGACAGAACTCCGCCTCTTCCACAACGCGTTGGGAGATGGCATCGCCAAAGTTATGCCCGTGCTTCAAGCGAACAAGACCGTGCAAGTTCTCGACGTCGGGGCGAACGACCTCCACGGTGACCTGGCCGTCTTGCTCTTCAACGGTCTCCACGCGCATTCGAGTTTGAAAACTCTGGAGATGGGCGGCAACAACTTGGGCGACTCTGGGCTGGCTGCGCTGGAAGCGCTGCATGCTGCCAACCCGTCGCTGGACGTCGCCATGGACAAGGCCGCGTCCAGCGAACAAGTGTAGTCATCGACTCCCGTCGTCGGAAGAGAAGGAGGACGACCCTGTAAAGTTTCGTGGATTGCTTATAAATAGGAAAAGTGAACTACACATCGACGGCAAGCACTTGACTACGATGCGACCAACTGCCACTGACTCAGGTGCACGTATACGCCAACGCAGACCGCGACCGTCGCGAAGGACATGAGCACGAGCACGACGAGCACGCCGCGGCAGATTTCATAGAGCACGATCGAGAACCCTTGCTTGACGCCGTCGACGACGACCCGCATGGCTCTGTGTTTCGGGTCGACCACCGTGCCGCTTCGGTGCAAGACAAACGCGGGGTGGACCCGTCGCAAGTAAGTCAAGACGGCGCTGCGGTCGGCGCCTCTTGTGTCGTGATCGTCGTACCCATCCTCTTCTTCAATCGCGTCGAGCCACGCTTTGGTGCGCTGCTGCGTCTGCCAGTTGAATTTTGCCGCCGACGTACACGCCTTCATCCCACCCCCGACGAATGCTGACAATTGAAAAGTGACGATAGATCGTGGGTAGCAGCCCCACAGTGGCGCCATCGATGCACGTAACTTCGTCACGATCGAGACAGCCCACCTCGACAGGGGTACGGCGACCGCACACATAGCACAGTGGTCACGTTTAACGTGTTTTGTCGGTCAACACAAAGGACGTCGCATCTATCTCCGTCGTGAATGGAGATCGCGGACAGGATATTCCAAGCAGTCGGCTGCGACCCGCCATGGATCGGGCATGTTGTGCACGCCTTGCAGTCGTCTTCTCGAGCGTCGGCAAGGCAGCTCACCTGCCGTGGGGGGATGGCGAAAATAAAACGCGTTTAACCTAGGTACATTCAGTACGGGCGATGCTGACCACGCGATGTAGCGGCGGCCAAAGTACTGCACTCTTGGAAGATCGCGTCGGCATGGCGGCCATGGCGCACGATCGATTGCCGTTTACAGGACGATATGGAAAGGGCAGTGCTCTATGTTGACCTGCTTGCGAACGACTACGCGTCAGCCTGGCAAGAACGCGAGCCATGGATGGATGGATGGTGGTCGAACCGACGTAGGACCAAAGTGTCGAGACTCGTCCCGGCGAGTGTATCTTTGCACCACGAGTTGGGCCTTTCTACCTTCTCGACGACCATATGCCTCGACCTCTGTAGCACATGGATCGCGCTCGGGATCGATCTCTCCACGTCGGGTGCGAATCGCACCGGGCTCGCGGAAAGCACGGCGCAAGTAACACCGAATACCATGGTAACGGGGGTGTGCAGCGCTCGTGTCGCAAGTGTGCCAACAACCGAGTCGATCGCGTCCACCGCCGCCGTGACCAAACCTTCCAGTTATCTCACGCTCGTGTCTCTGTCGTGTTAATAGTGCTGTAATTGCTGTGATATCAAGTCTTCGTAGGGCATCTGCATTCGGTCCATAGCTTGTCGATGGCGCTCGTCGCGTTGGGCGATATCACACCGGTGGTTGTGCGCGCGCAATGTGACCAGCGACAGCGCCGACGAACGCGTCGCAGGGGGGGCCGATAAGGGGGGCAATACATGTGCCACGACTTGCCTCGATTCTACTTCGAACAGGTCCTCCATGGCCAACCCGACCATCTCGCCGTCGTCGTCGTCCTTGGAGCTTCGTCTTGGTTGTCTTCGACCGCGCCTCCTCTATCCACGTGTCAGCCCACCACGCTGTCGACTCCATGCACTCACCGAACCACCCGGTTCCCGCCTGCGTTGCTGCTTCTTGTAGTATTCTAACTCGGCGAGGACGTCGCGGAGCTTGGCTTCGCGCTCAAGATCGCCGTTGCGATCGATCGTGGCTGTGGCTTCCCACCGGAGGTAGTACTCTGTCCAGAGCCTCAAACATTTCACCGACACGCTCGGGAGCAGCACATCTGCGTCCGGCCCAAAGCTTGGCACGTCCTTGCTGCTGGCTTGACTCCCTTCGCTCTCGTCACAGCTGCTGCTGCTACTGGACGTGCTGGACCGTGCGTCTAGATGTCCAGGCTCGTCGTCTGCCATGCTGTCATCCCGTGGGAGGAGCTCAAGGTCGACGTCGTCATCTTCGTCGGCGCCGCCAGTGTAGTCCATCAAGGGCGAGGCGTAGGCGGGACTGGACAGCGGCGTCGCGACGGTCTCGATCACGTGGGGAAACATAAGCCCCGCATCCAAGTCTTGCACAATCGAGTGAAACTTTTTCTTGGGTTTGCCTCCCCTGGCTTTGATGTCGTCGACGAACGCAGCGCCGTTCTTGGGCCTTTTCGCGCCAAACAAGTCGTCGGAAGCGACATGGTCCGCATGATGAGGCGACGCCAGAGCCTCCAAGTGTTGCGAGCTGTCCGTGTGGACGATGACAACTCCGTCTTCCTTTTCTTCGAGCCCCACCAAACCATGGCTATCCAACGACAAAAAAGTTCGGTACAGCGACTCGCATGACTGACACACAGGGCGACGTACCCGTCAACGGGGGCGTGGTGGTGGTCCTCGACGGGCTGCTGCCATTGCGACATGGGGAACTCGTTCGCTTGTCGCCGCTCGACGACGCGAGCATGCCAGTTTTGCCGTGAATACTTGCGCGGTTCGTAGAATGGATTCGTAATGAAGGACCGCTCCAGACTCGACAGATACGTCCACAGCGACGTGGTCGGGGCCTGGCGCTCTTCAACGACTCGGCGCTGCTCCGAGTCGTAGAGAAACGTTCCTGCACAGGCTGTGAGTGACGACGCACCTCGTCGATCGTGTTCAGTTGCCCACATCGAGCGACGTACCAAATCGGCACGAGTACAAGTGGTCCAGAACCAAGATGAGGAACCTCGTGTTGAACTCAAACGAGCACGGAAATTGCCTGCACATTTGCCACACGCAGTCCATCCACTGGACAAACACGACCGAGATTTCCTGGCTGTTCGGGTCCGCGACGTGCCCCGTGCGTTCGCAAAACTTGTAGCCAAAGCTGCACCAGTCCTACACAGCCCCTCGCTCAAATCGACGACGGAGGAGCCCATCGATGTACCTTTTCCACGAGCAACGCGAACCCACGAATCGTGCGGTAGTACGGGTCCAGCATGAGCTCTGCGAGTGCCGTGACCTGTGACGTGCGGTCCCACCCGTCGCTGCAATGCACAAGCACGCTCGCGGTGTCGGTTTTGACCAGTCGAACAATTTCCACGGCGGCGTGTAAGATTCGGCTCAGGTGGTCCATCCATTTGGTTTGGGCCAGCTGGATGCACGCGCGTGTCAACGCCCATTGTGACACGGTCGTTGGAACGCACCTGTTCATGCCACCGACCGGGTGGCTCCATCAACGGATCGGGGGCCAAGCACAAGTCGGTGAGTTTCTGGAAGCTCTTGCGCATCACGTGAATGTTTTCGATGCCCATAAAGACCAGGCGGCACGTAATCGGCCCCAGCATGACTGTCTCGTCGACTACTCGGTCAACCGTGCTTGGCTGTGGCGGCGACGACGGCGGCACCGCTTCGGCGTTTTCTTTGTCCGGCACGGTCTTGACTTCGTAATGGGCAGTCAATTCATACCCTGCCATCCCGACCGTCTTTTGAGCCATTGCATTGCGCCACGGCCGCGCGTCCACAATCACCATCGTGGAGCTGCTCGGGTTCGTCGCAGCAATGGCTTGGATCAACAAGATGTCTTCCGCACACTGCTTTTGCCCTATCAAGCATGGCTATGTGAGAAAACGTCGCTTCCACACACGCTGGGAAGCATGGCTAGTTGGCCTTGCGCAACTGAATGCAGCGAAGGCATCGATGAAAAGGGATTTTGTGGGCATCGAGAAACGGATGCCGCCGTCCCAACGGATGCAGGCACGGGCGCGCGCGACGTACCCAAACCTACAAGGGGCTGGGAGCTGCGGCAAATCGTGGCCCCGGATTTTTTGTCTCGCCACGTCAGCGCTGGGATGCGAGCTTTGGATCGAAACGCGCCTACACAGCGCGATACGATCTCAATCTCGATGGCTGCCACGATCGCGTTTCGTGGCAGGGGTTACCTGCTGTGGCCAGCACGTCGTCCGAGATGGCGGCAGGCACGGCAATGGATGCCGAGTACGTTGGGCAGAACGAATACGTTTGGTTGATGTCGGTGATGCGCCACTTGGTCGTGGCACCGACGCCGAGCCGATTGAATTCGGCCACCGGGTCGTACACGGTCCATCCGTCCAAGACGGCGCGAGGGAACTGCTCTTGGTGAACTTTGGCGAAATGCGTTGCCCCGCCGCGACCTCTCAGTTCTCGGTCACAACGGTCAAAGTGGCTGAACGTTTGCTGCTTCACGAGCCCGAGAAACACGAGCTGGACGCGGCGCAAGTCTTTGCAAAATACCGTGAGCACTCCTACGCCATGCAAAAAAATGTAAGCCGCATGACGTGGCACGTTTTGTCGCAACTGCCCATCGGTTGGTTACCAGTGTCGGACTCGGCCAATTCTTGCCGCTTCACGCGCTCGATCGTACGCAAAGGAATCGCGTGGTACCGGGGGGCAGTCGTGACATGATCGGCTTGCAAGACCACCGTCGCGTGCCGGCTGTGCGTTCGAGCGCATGCTTCGGACGTACTGAGGCAAGGCGCCGCGGTCTGGGAAAACACGAGGCGGTAGTTGCTGATGTAAACCGTGCCCGCGTATTCGCAGCCGTTTGGAATGCAACGCAAACGAACGTTTGGACCTCGATACATAACGACTTCGCCGGGAATGACGTCGATCATGGTCGTTAGCGCGTGACCCGCGGGGCTGGCCGTGTAGTTTGAGTACGTTTCCGACTCGTCCATGGGCGACAGCGTCAGAAGCGTATGGAGATCGTGATGGGAGGACGACGCTAGCGCTTCAATGCTGCCATGTGCTGGCCCAACACTGGACACGCTTTGACTGAGGCGACGCCGTTCGTTGTACATACGGCGGTGGGTCTTCTTGGCAGCGTCGCAACATTTGTCGCACACGCGGACAGGGGTAAAGAACCCGGCGCTCACAAGAGGCATGCGGGAAGACGAGCATCCATCACAAAACACGTTGCCGCAACGACGGCAGTGGTGACGGCGCAGCACGAGCGAGAACATGGCCTGGCAATGGTAGCATCGATCGGCAAGAGAGTCGGGGACCCACGACACGACTTTCTGCGCCTCATGCAGGAGCATCATCTGGCGAAAGGTTTCCTCCCGCAGTGGCGACGCTTCGTCTGGCCGTCGACGGGTCGCTGACACCCCCGAGGCGCCCTGGACTTGAACAGACCGCGACAAGTGGTGCGTCATGTGCCGGTCCGCCGAGGTCGGGTTCGTTTTCCTCGAGTCGCCATGGTACATTCACATGATTGGTCGAAATAGATTGACAAAATCCATTTTTCAACCAATGAGAAGCTGTATCTTGAAGCCCTGTCGCCGCAGATGACGTTGGCCCGAAAGGGCACGGCAGTTACACTATCCAAACGAATGGACGAGATTGACCTGGAGCTGACGGGTACGCCGGCACAACGTGGCGCGGCGCTTGCTCTGACGGTGTATAGATGCTGTCAGCCGAGGGGACGTGGACACAGTGGCCATGTGGGTCACGTCAGGGCGCGTGGACGTGAACGTTCCAGACCGAGATGGCGATGTCCCGCTCTTGGTTGCCGCCAAGAAGAATCAATGTGCCATGGTCGAGGTGCTGTTGCAGTATGGAGCGTGGTTGGACGCAGTCGACGTACGACCGAACACACAACGTGGGAACTCCGCGGTCCTGACCTAGATCGACAGGCACATGGATGGACGGCGTTGATGGAGGCTGCGCTACATGGCCACGAAGATGTAGTGCGTGTGTTGCTCAAGTGGGGGTGTGAAAAATCGCTGAGGAATGCCGTACGCGACACCACCTCGCGGAACGATGACTGACCACAAACTTCACATTGGTAGGAGGGTCTCCATGCACTCGACATTGCCGTGCAATACGGGCACGGCCAAATCGTGTTTCTCCTGTGCGAAGGGCATGACCCTGGCGTCGGGTTCTTTTAACTATACGTGATTTCATCATGGCATCGTGACGTTCTTTTGGAATTCGATAATCCCCATGATGCGGAGGTTGCTTTATTCCACGGCGTGTGCATTGCACGTCGCAGTGCACGTCACGGCAATGCGAGCACAAGAGCGACACGCCCAGTTATGGCGGCGTGCGATGCGCCGCACGCAATCTCCACGCCAGTATGGTTTCGACGACGGCCCATGAGGCGGAGGACGTTGGGGGGCCTGTCGTTGTGCCGGTTCCTTGCTCTCCATGATACACCATCCGGATACAATCGGTCAAGTCGGCCAACTTGGTGGCATTGCGTGCAAGATGCAGATCACGTACAAGCCGATCGCGGTGTCCGAGGCGGCAGCTGTCCATGCCATCGAGGCAGCGTCGTACCCTGCGGACGAAGCTGCGTCGTTGGCCCAAATCAAGATGCGTCTGAATGTCGCCGGAGCATACTTTCTCGGAGGGTACGAGGCATCGCATGGACACTTGGTCGGGTTTGTGAACGGGACGCTGGCTCCACGCCGCGAATTGGAAGACGAAACGATGTCGCGTCACGACCCGAATGGACGATACCTGTGCATCCATTCCGTCGTCATGGACGCTGCGTATCGCCGTCAAGGCCTCGCGTCGGCCATGCTCAAGGCGTACGTGGACAGAATTGTAGCTGACCAGGTACGACGACCGCGTTCGTGCCACGTGACTGACTGAACGTGTAGCCGCATGTGGAAGCGATCTTGCTGTTGTGCAAACCATACCTCGTTCAATTTTACGTCCAGGCTGGCTTCCAAGTCACGCGTCTGTCGCCCGTGGTCCATGGCAAGGATGCGTGGCTCGAGTGCGTGCTGGATTGCGTCAGCGCCCGCCAGTTGAAAATCATCCAAGTAGACGCATTCACGTCGGTGCATTACGAAGGGAATCCCGCGGCAATCGTGCCCATGACTGCCAAGCAATTTGACGCCGCCACAGATGCATGGATGCAGGTCGTGGCCCAGGAAAACAACTTGAGCGAAACGGCGTACGTCGCGCCAACGTCGAACCCATCCACGTATCGATTGCGGTGGTTTACGCCAGGTCAGTGCAGTTCGAGAGCATCTCGATCGTGCTCTTGCAGTGTTTCATCAAGTGGCATTTGGCGGATACTAGCGATGGAAGTGAATTTGTGTGGTCATGGCACACTGGCCACGGCCAAGGTGCTGTTCGAAGACGGCTACGTGAGCAAATCGTCGACGTTGGATTTTGAAACACGGTATGTGTTTCGTCCTTGTCTGGGATGCGTCCCCTCATGGCCTGACTCGCCAGCGGTGGCCGGCTGACTACGCGATACTTGCCCAACGGCGAAATCCAAATGGCGTTTCCGTTGTGCGCCCCTGCACCACTCGCCGACGGCTCGAACGACCTGAAGCTTGATATTCTCGCGAGTTTGCAACTAAACGACGCAGACGTGGTCGCATGGGCCATGTACGGGAAAAAGATTCTGTGCCACGTCAACCCGGATCGGTTTGCCACGCTTGGCCCGGTCGACTTCACTCGCCTTGGCGCATTGGATGCACAGTACTTTGCTTGGTTTTATGTCAACGTGCTCGCTCACTGCCTCGTTCTAGGGGGTTGATGGTCACGACCAAGGGCGGGGACGCATCCGGCGTAGATTATGTGAACCGGTACTTCGATCCTCGCGCTGGAGTCAATGAAGACCCGGTCACGGGAAGCGCGCATTGCGTGTTGGCGCCGTACTGGGCTGCGATTCTATCCAAGTCGTCGCTCGTCGCCCGGCAAGTGAGCCATCGTCCTGGCACCCTTCGACTACAAGTCGACACGGACCAAGACCGAGTCATCTTGCATGGCGACGCCGTGATCACCATGCGCGGTGTGGTCGTGTAGTCAAGTGATCGGCATGGAATTTTTCTTCAAATGCCAACGCACACTGCACGTGTTGGCATGGCGTTGGTTTGTGTGCGTGCGGCGATTGCCAGTGTTCATCGCTGGGCTGTTCGAAGCATGTGGTGTGTGTCCTAGATCACGTTAATAGGCACTTGAACCTGGAAACTGCGCTGGGAATGCCATGTCGAGCTTTGCGCCGTGCGAGGATATATGCACTCGCCTGGAATGTACACCATCTTACTCTTGATGGACGTCGTGGTACGACACCTTTCCCACTTGTTGGTTAGCCACGCGCATGCTTTCCGGACAGTACAATATGATCGCCTTCACCCTCCAAGGGCAACATGAGTTGCGTGCTATCGAGACAAGGTGCATCCACATACGGGTGAAGCGTCCGCAACAGACGCTGGATGGCACAGTCATGAGATGCCGAATTGAGTTGCGCTGTGGACGTTTCCTGAAGTTGGTAATCATTGCACCATTTCGCGCCTCCGATGGGTTGGAATGGCTCTCTGTTCAATCATGTGGCACGGTCGGTGTGGCTCGTCGCCCACTCATGCACATGCGCACCGCCATTTTTGCCCAATGCTCGGCAAAACTCCGCGCCGCAACCAATACGTGCTCCAATCTCAACTTGCGATTCACCCCTTGCATTGGTTGAACATGTGCGTCGTCGCAGGCAAAGCCACCTTGGCCCTGTACATTCCTGTTCACAACGTGCTGTACGCCTCGGTTCCGCCCGATGGATGGATCGGCAACATGCCCGCGTCAAGAAAAGCGACGGATCGTTTACGCATGCTGTGCTCGTGAGGAACGACGGCAAGTTTCACGCAGGTGAAAACGACAACACATACCTCGATCCGACCCATTTCACGATTGCGCAGTGTGTCAAACACGAGCACTCAAGTTTCATAAAATCTCCATTATGCTGGCGAATCCATCGGCACGGTTTGGACGGGTTGTCAACGCGCACAGGGGGCGTCGAGGACGGCGAAGTGGGGACACTCAGCTCCACATACGGGACTCACGGCACCGCCCGCCTAGTACTGGTTGGCCATCTTGAGCGGGAGCGCGTACTTGGCGGCGTGCGTGTGCGGTTCGTAGTCGGCCAAGTCGACTTGAAAAGTACACCAGAGCTTCATGTCGAGTCCGTACATGACGTTTGCATACCGCAGAGTGAGCACGCCATTCATGGCTGCCGACATGCGGTCCATGTAGTAGACTTTCTTGTCGATCCAGTCGGACGCGTTGAAGAGGTATTTGGCCCCGGCGTAGAGAAATTCGGACCGGAGGGGCGTCGGCTTTGGCGGGGCCACGAATTGGCGTGTTGTCGTGTAGCATACCACGTTGCAAACGAGGACGATGGCAACCACAAGGATCAAGCGCACTGGCCGTCCAATCGCGAGATCGCCACTCGTGCACACGACTTGGACGTCCACCTGAGCCAAGTGGCACTGCTTGTCGATCGTCATCGCGTGGGGCATGGGAGAGAGGATGGAAATTCCAGCCATGACAAACCACACGAGCATACTGTTGGACGACGCGTACAGGCGCGTGTACTCTTGCGTAAACGCGAGGCCAATGTCGTTGACGACAGCGACGAGCCACGTGACTTCGCTCGCGGCCAAGAACGTTTTGTACAGCGGCGTTTGCTGCGATTCAAAGTACGAGATGCGGCCCGAGTAGTGCAGTTCCAGCGTCGACGTGGACAGCAACCCAATCGCGGTCAAGCTGCGGAGGAACAAAAACGGGCGGCCGATCCACACGATCGCCCCAACACGCTGCAACTTGTACAGATTCCCCACTTCGACGTTTCCCAGGCTTGCGACGATGTACAATAGCATTAGCGCCGCCATAAAGATCAACGTCGACGTGATGTAGATGACCGCGCTGCGAAGGTACACGGCAAAGTTGACGGGGAATTGCGCCTGGTTGACTTGCTGGGACCGCGGGAGCTCAAATTCCGTGACGAGCGTGATGGTGGACGCATCCCCCGAAAACGATACGACTTCGCGATACCCCATCGCCCAGTCGACCAACATGGACCATGCAAAAGCAGCAAAGTCGGCGTGGCCCGACTCCAACAGACGCGTGCGGTGCAGCTCGACAGGGCCGTCTTCCGCCTGGATGCCAAATTGCAGCAACTCGATGTTCATTGCGAGCACGGCGTCAGTCGCGTGTTGAATGGTGTCCGTCACGTTGGGGTCCGCCACAACGGACGGCATGTACTCGTTTACGAACGACGTGCTCGAGTTGAGCATTTGCACGCATGCCGGGATGGACTGCGCCACGTTGGCACAGATCGACGTGATGTTGTCGAGGGTGGCTGTTGTGACGCGGGCGAGAACGACCGCGGACAGGATAGACCGTCGAAAGAAGGGCGTCGACGCGACCAACGGGACAAACGAGCATTGTTTGCTCAGCGACGTCAGGCACTGCATCCCAGCCGCGACTGGGCGGGCACCGCTCGTGGGACACAAAATGCTCCCCCCCACCGACGAAAACGCTAACTCGCCAAACGGTGTCGGCACCGGCGAGAAAAGAAACATGCCGTCGACGATGTCAAAGTACGCGGCTTGCGCCGCCACGCTGTGGGCCAAACTCTGGCGAAGGGCGGCCAGTAAGGTACGTACGAGAGACTTGACCACACCCGGACACGGGAGATGGTATGCATCGACTGTCCCAAACGGCCCCAGCACGGTCTCGAGGATCCCGAACGACGCGACGAGAGGTGGCACCAAGATCTCGCGTTGAAATAACAGCGCTTCCATCGAGCTGTTGGCAAAAGCAAACGTGGGGCTGGACCGAATGAGGCTCAGGCCACTGATCGCACTCTGGTTGGTGGCGACGCTCGCGAGATCGTTCGCAAATGCCCAGTACAGCTTCATCGTGGTCTCCCGGTCGAGCCGAAACGTGGAAAACGATGTTTCGAGCCCAAACGGGTACGCCAACCCGTACACGTTGCTGATCGTGTACTTGTTGACGAGCCCGATGGTTTTGAAATTTTGCCACTGTGTTGTAAAGTGCTCAATGCCATGTCGTCGCCACAGCGCCGCTTCCGCCGCCACACTTGGCCAGTCCTGCGCTACAGACAGGGTGCTGCGCAACCACGCCTGGCCGTCTGCCGTTTGCTTGAGTTCGTTGGCAATCGCCATGTCAAACGCATGGCCCCAGCACCGCTCGAATGACTCGACATTGCGCAGCACGGTGTCGAGAAAGACCGCGCCGTTGGCTGTCATCGACTTGCATCGGTGTTGTCTCGCCTCGGTGTTGGCCAGCTCCCAGCGCTGATTCAAGTCCACGTAGCAATACTGGGTGAAGATCCACGGAGCCGCACACGGATCCGACGTCCGGAGCCCCGAGATCGAGGCTTCGATCGTGTTGAGCTCCGTGTACTGAAGCAGCCCACCGACATTCGGCGGCGACAGCACGATCCCGTTGTCGTCGTCGTATGGCTTGTCGTCGTTGACGACGTCCGTGTCCAAGTGGACTTTTTCGTTTGGCACGCGGAGCACGAGCTGCTCGTTGAGCCAATTCGCCGTGAACGCGTGGGCTCCAGTCATGTTGAACGTGGCCCACAGCAAGTCGTTGGCCAGGTTCACTTGGGACACTTTGAGATACGAGACACTGCCCACGATACTCGCGATCGCGTACAACACGCCAAAAAAGGACAAGATCTGCTTCTTGTACTGGCGGATCGCCTTGGGGATGTACTTGCGGTACCGTCCGCCTTTGGTTATGCCGAGGTGGCGGATCGAGTGAAACGACGGGATGCGGAGCGAGCCAGCCGCCGTCTTTTGGTGGAGGAGCCATAGCTTGATGTCGAGCAGACTGTCCTTGTAGCCAGGGATGTGGACGAGCCCCGCCATGAGCCACGACGCCACGTCGTGGGATTCATAGCACTCGACGAAATCTTTCGAGTTGTCGAGGGGGTAAAACTTGTCGGCCACGCCGAGCATGTGCCGCTCAAACGAAACAGGGGACTCTCGACGGCCACCCACGATAATGTGGTACATCTTGGCGACGACGATGGCGCCGCACAACACGATGACTTGAATGACGACTATCAGACACACTCGATCGAACGAACCGATTTGGACGACCCCGCTCGAGCACTTGATCGTTTGGTCCATGCTCTGCGCCGAGCACGTCCGAGCGATGTACGCGACCGGCAGAATTGGGTTGTACAGCTCGAGGACGAACAGCGCGACCCAGCACACCACGTAGCTCAATGGCGCAAACAGCCTCGTAAATCGGCGCGTGACAATCGTGAGAAAGTCCGTCGCGACGTACAACATCCACGTCGCTTCGCCGGCAACGACAAAGATGCGCAGCCACGTTCGTGGTTGAAAATGCAGGCGCGAGTACGCGTCGTTCCCAGCCACGAGCTCCAGCTGCGCCGTACTGAGGAGGAGCATCGCGGTGGTGCCGCGTAAGATGAGCAACGGCCGACCGATCCACACCGACCCGACGATCTGGTTGAACCACGCGTAGTTGTTGTTCATCTTTCGGCTCCCGATCGTCGCGATCGTGCCCAGGACACACCCGACCGTGATGCCGACCACGATGAACGTTGTGTACGCGACAAGGAAGAAAATATACCGGGTCGCTGACGTCACGTACGACACACTGCTCGTAAAGAGGACAGGTCGCTCGAGCATCGAGATGAGCGCCACCGACCCTGCATCACCTTCGAATCGCACAACTTCTCGCATGCCTTGGATCCAGTCCAGCACGACAATCCAACTGAACAATGCAAACGTCGGCTCGTCAAACAGGGCTTCAAACAAGATCGTGCGGTTGAGGTCGTCCACCGCGTTCGCGGCAAACTGAAGGAGACCGACCTTCAACTGCTTCACGTCGCTTTCCACTTGGTCGAATAGTCGGCGCTCCATCGATAGCGAAAGGAGCCGCGACGTTGCTTGGGCGTGCTGCACTGAGGCGAGGCATTGGGTTGGCTCAGACACTGTCCCACACGTGCCGTCCACGTCGACAGAACAATTCATGGCGTGCATGGCGAAGATGGCCGATTGGAACGTCATGTCGACCGTGAGCGGTTTCTGGTGGTCGCAAATGTCGTAGAACCCAAACGTTTGCTGGACGTACGGTTGGGGAGTGCCGAGTAAGCACATGGGATTGCCGCCGTAAAACATGAGTGTCGGGTTCGCCCAGGCGACGGGCGTCGGATGGAAAGTGACGTCCGAGATGGTTCTCATGGCGGTGTCCATGGCGGTGTCGGCCGTCGTGATCGTGCGGAGCTTGGACTGGAAGGCGTGGTAAGCAGCTAGCGCCGACGCCGGAACGGCGACGAGCCACGTGTCAACAGAAAGAAATGGCCCGATCACGGTCCGAAAGAGTTCCATCGAGGGGGGCATGTCGTCGCCATCCGAGACACCCACGACCTCGCGCTCCAGGTTGAATGCAGGCTGTTTGAACATCGAGTTGTCCGCCGACCAAATCATGCTGCGATTCGCATCCGCGTGACCGTACATGTCATTCATAAATGCATGGTACAAAACGAACGATGTCCACGTGCATTCGACCGACGGGATGTTGTTCAGGACAACTTCCTGGCGCATGCCGAGCGCGTTCTCGAGCACCATGACCTCGGACATCCCCGTGAGGTAGTCATTTTGCCATTGCAACGTGAACGCTGTGATCGAGTGGTTTTTCCAGTACGCGACTTCGTCGCTGACTGTCGTGGTCGCTCTTGCGATCGACGTGGCCGCGATCCACCGTTGTCCCGATGGCACTTGATGCAGCCAGTCGAGAATCGCAACAGAGAACGACCCGGTGTCGCCACCGTAGTACTGCATGAACTCGTCCCAATTGATGTTTCGCAGGATCGCTTCGATGTAGACGGCTCCGTTCGACTTGTACAGCGAGTGACACCGACGCTGCCGTCGTTGGGTGTGTGCGACCTCAAATTCCTGGTCAAAGTCCACCCAACAGTACTGTGTGCCGATCCACACGCTTTCTTGAGACTCCAGCGCCCGTAGATTCACCACAGCGTGCTCCATGGTTGTGAGCTCAGTCAGAACGAGTCGCCGGGGGTACGTTGGGTATACGTTTGTCGTGGCAGCGAGGTCTCCGTACACCTTGTCCACGGTTGCATGAGGCGCCAAGAGGTCGACGGGACCAGAATCCTGGATGGGCAGCATCGCGTTGAAGATGTCGACGAGCCATGCCTGCTCTCGCGTCGTCGTGTAGTTGGCCCACCAAATGTCGTTCATGGTTGGCGGGTTGAGCAAGTACACGAAGATGCATGAACAGATCGCAGTAAACGTAATGTACATGCATCCCAGCACAGTTGCCAAGAGCGAATGGCGGTCACCAAACGTAGAGGCCATAGGACTCGAGCACGACGATCCTTGCGTCGGCGCGGGGTGGAGGTTCAAGCGGCGTTACATTTCGACCCTTAGCGATAGAGTAACCGTTGACATGGCGCATCGTGATGCAGGACAGCGTGGCGCTGTACGTAATTTTGACCATAGCGGCTGGACGAGCGCCCGATGCTCCGCTCCATTTCGCGGCATTCGGCCAGATCGTCGCCGACAAGATGGCAACGGCATGTTGATGATTTGTGGTGTCCGCATATCAGTCTCTCTTATCCGTATTTTCGATAGGACCCTGACTTGATTGAGAAATGGGACGACAATGTTCCCGGGATTGGCATCGATGGACTTCATGTCGAGATGGGCAAAGCTTGACAGGATGCCCGATTCTCAATGCATATCCCAACGCGCTCCACGCTGACCAGGCGGGGACACGTTGCTTCCAACCTTGCAGAGGGCAACTCGAGCCCATCACGGATTCGGACACGTACTTAGAGACTTCAAGGAGAGAATTCGTGAAAGTGCGATTCTTTGTTGGAATTTCCGGGACGGCCTAAAGGCCAAAGAGAGGAAAAGACTGGACGTTCGGGGTGGCGCGCATGATATGGGGCTCACGCCTCTCCACGGCACCGCCTGCAGGAAATTGTATGAACGGTCTGGTGTGCTTCATTTCCGAGGCGGATCCTCTCGAGCAAATCGTTCTTATGAGGGTTCATACAAATCATAGATATGTCTGGACAACGTGGATTGAAGAATTTATGTCGACACACGTTTTATTACAATTTTCGAGTGAATGTACTAAGTACGAGTCCGACTCAATTGTCGTCCGAAAAAAAACTCATCTTGGATCGAATTCATAGTACAACTACAGTACTAGGACAAGTCCTTGCAAGTGCGTCGACCTTGCCGTCGTCATGCCCTTGTTGACGAAGCGATGCGTGTGCCACAGCATCGTGCCAGGGCATCGTGGAGGGCATGGCACGAATCACTGGACAAGGATGCAGCACATGCATGGCTGTGCTGGGTAGAGCACCGCGCATTCGTTCGCGCTCGTTCCATAGAGTACTCTTGGCCGAATGGACCCGAGAATGCTGGGATACCAAGTTTGTTTTACCATGCTCAATCGAGCCACGTGAATCGTGGGTGTGAGGTCGCAACCAACGACAGCGACTGTGGTCGTTGTACGAAGGCGCCTTCCGCACCACGAGCTTGTCAGTATTCGTTGGTCAAGAGCAGTGGAAGGGCAAGTTGGGCTGCCCTCGTTGGAGGAGCTATCCTGGA